CTGATTTTTTAGAATGATCTTTGAATGATCAATATTATAAGCAAAAAGAACTGTGGGGGTAAATAATGTTAAAAAATTAGATGTTTAACTACCTAATTACATCTCAAATCTGGTACTTAGAAGTCTAATTAATATAAATTGCACCCACAGTGATTTGTGCTTGCAAACAGATTGAGGCTCCTGTCAGACCAGGACTCAATGGCTAATTTCACACAATTTCATACAATTATTACTATTATTACAGTTTTCAGAGTAACAGCCGTGTTAGTCTGTATTCGCAAAAAGAAAAGGAGTGCTTGTGGCACCTTAGAAACTAACCAATGTCTCTAAGGTGCCACAAGTACTCCTTTTATTATTACAGTAGCATATAAGAGCCCCAAATGGGGGTCAGGACCTAGCCCTATAGTGCTACTGCTGTTGTATTAATTTAGAAGGATTAAATGTGCCAAAGGTGATAATATAACCCAGTCACTGTTGTACATTAACAAGTGTTAAACTTGATTTGGTTTCTGGGATATGGAGACCACAGCTTGCTATGGCAAAAACACCATTAAAAATCCTTGTTACCTTTTATTAAAGATACAGAAAAGAAAGAAAAATAGTTAAAGCATTTGAAGTAAGAAGTGAGGGTTTCATTTTAACAACATTTCTTGTTCCCTTTCCCTTTAACTGGAGTGAGTTTTAGAAGGAAAACTCCTCTTGTTTGACAGTCTTTCACATGGTATCAAAGATGATGATAAACTGTCCTTTTGGATAAAAGAGAAGAAACTAGTTGAGATGGGCTGGAGGGGTAGTTGCAGGTGGTGTTTGGGATTCACCTGGAGCTGGCAGGGGTGAGGATGCTATTTAGGTCCCCCTTTCTGGACTGAAGTGGTCAAGACATCTCTCAGGATCAGGGTGATGAAGATCTGAGGTCCCAGGAAATGGTGGGTGTGGCAGCCAGGATGGCGAAGCTCCCTCCAATAGCCTCTGTCTGTTGTTCATATTTCCTACCCAAAGTCTCTTTCTTTAAGGACCCAAAAAGGGAGTGATGGGTGGAAAAGTCCTTCTCTCATTATTTTGTGCACAAGTTAGACCTAATAACTAAAACACCAATTTTGGTTTATTAATATCTAGTTCCATATCTTCTGTTTTTACCAAGCATGATTTCAGCAGTCCTTGAACCATCTCAACAGATCCTTTTTGTTGGGACAAATTTGTTATTCTGTCTCCCTTTCATACTTTTCCCCATCATCATTTGTTATTCTAAGTTATAGTGACATTTTATGGACTTTCACATACTTTTTTACAGTTGAGCTCACAATTAAAATAAATTTGTAAGCCCAATTGTCACAACAGTGTTGTACAAATGTGTAATAAAAAAACTCCCACCACAAAGAATTTACAGTCTGGATTACAAGATGGCACAACAGCTAGGCAAATCAAGTAAAGGGATATGGGAGGGAGGGAATAAAGTGGAGGATGAGATGAGAAGATGACCAGAATGCTATATCAAAATGAGCATTAATCATGACTTGCCTCTTGCTCAGCCAGCATTGGCTGGTGCTGTCTTGGAGGCATCCTGGCAGAGGTGAGTTTTAAAGACCGGTTTGAAATTGGATAATGTGGCAGATAGACCAATTTTGTTGGCGTTTCTCCCCCCTGCTTATGGGTGATATGCGACCAAGGCCAGAGATGTCTTAGGACAAAGTTGATTGGTGTGTAATAAGGCCTGGAGGCAGAGGTGAAACTAAGCCGGTCCGGTCTGGTATGGTGTACCGGTAAGAAAGTGGCTGCCGGTACATGGCTGACCAAACCAGCAGGGCTGATGATGATGGGGGGGGAGGGAGCAAAAGGGGCAGATTCAAATGGGCCCCAGGCTCCCAGGCCCTGCCACCGCTGCCCCAGGGCTCTGACAGTAATTGAAAGGGCCTGTGGCTCCCAGTCGCTGCTGCCACCACCGCGCCTGCGACCGGAGCCTCGGGTCCTTTAAATCGCTGCCAAAGCCCCAGGCAGCGCTGAAGGGCTGGCTGGGGGATTTTGGCCCCAGCTTCACTCCTTCTGCACGAGGGCCTGCCCCTTCCGCCCAAGGCCCACAGCCGTGTACCCCCCCCAACCCCGGCCACCTTGCATACCAGTAAGTCATTTAAGTTTCATTCACCCCTGGCTGGAGGGTAGATTCTCCACTGTGCCTGAGCAGTGAGAGGGGAACTAACACCCGATCAAGGCTCCCTGATTCTCCATGGTCCCCAAAACGCACAGTGTGGTGCAGCAAAATCTACATAAATCTCATGAAAATAAGTGGAAATAAAAATAACAGAGAACCTCAAAAGTTAATCTCTTTCTTGTAGGGGTGAGTAGTTTATTAGATGTCTAGGGTCGGACTCGGTGAACACGACTCACTTTGTGTTTCAAGTATTGTGTATGCAAGGATGATACCAGTTTCACTAGATCAGATGATAGCAGGGGAAGGACTTCTGTTGTAGCTGTCATTCATTCAAGGGTAGGCAGCGGGAAAGGGTTAGCAGCACAAGGAAATATGCTGTAGTAAATCCCCTGCTACAGTGCCTATGGTCTGGGGAAAGACTTCAGAATATAGGATCTTCAGAGTTGATATTTCAATGTGGTGATGACTGTTGCAATTCATAGATTCTTACACTGATATTATAAGCCAAATTTTCAATGAGATTTCTAAAATTGCACCTGCACATTTTGTGGTCATACATGGTTTTTTTCCCCCATTGGGGCATTGGTCTGCATTTTAAAAAAAAGTGTGCAATAGCTATACTAGCAAAATAGCAGTCACAATTTTAGAGGTCCATTTGAAAATTGTAGCCTTTGTCTGCCAGCTCCTCAATGTTAAGGATTGGTTTAAGTCAGCCAATCCAAACAGAGCTGATCCAGATAATCTTGGACTTCTTACAGACCATTTGCTCATTACGGCCTGTATTTTGCATGCGAGAAAAAGATCCTAAGTTACCCACCAATCAGTAGCTTCAAACACACACGCACATATGCCATTTCTACTATACACACAGTATTTCATTATTAGCCAGGAAAAATCATAACAATCAATGAGATAATTAAATGTACAAACTGAGCAATCTGAATAATCAAATTGTTTTTAGCCTCCGTAATGTTGCCACCTGAAAAATGTAGGCGATTAGCACCTTTCTATTGAACTAATTTGGAACTGGAATTAATTTGCAAACTGGACACCATCAAATTAGACCTGAATAAAGACTGGGAGTGAATGGGTCATTACAAAAACTAATTTCCCCCTACTGTTACTCACACCTTCTTGTCAACTCTTTGAAATGGCCACCCTCATTACCACTACAAAAGTGAATTTTCCTCCCTTGGTATTCTACTGTTAATTGAATTGTCTCATTAGCACTGTACCCCGCACTTGGTAAGGCAACTCCCATCTTTTCATGTACTGTGTATATATACCTGCTACTGTGTTTTCCACCCCATGCATCTGATGAAGTGGGTTTTGGCCCACGAAAGCTTATGCCCAAATAAATTTGTTAGTCTCTAAGACACAACAAGGACTCCTCGTTGTTTTTACTGATTCAGACTGACATGTCACCCACTCTGAAACCTGTTTCTATGGAATGTTCTTTTCTGTGGTGTGGTTTTAAGGCAGGTCTACACTGAAAACTGACATCAGCATACACCCTCTCTCGGGGGTGTGAAACATCCACATGCCTTAGAGATGTACTATGCCAACTGGTGTAAACAGCGCTATGTCGATGGAAGAATTCAGGATACAAGAATTCTTCCGTCGACCTACCTACCACCCCTTGGGGAGGTAGATTAACTCCAGCCATGGGAGAATTCCTCCCATCACTGTAGTGAGTGTCTACGTTGAAGTGCTCGCTACAGCAGCACAGCTGCAGCTGTGCCTCGGTAGTGGTTTAAGTGTAGACATAGCCTTTGATAATGTTGTAGCATACATGCACGAGTAGAAGACCACTGTATATACTGCACATTAATTAAATCAAGGCTGGGTGTTTTTCCAAAAATATGCGGTAGGAATTATTTTGGGGATGTTCTATGGCCCATGCTATACAGGAGGCCAGACTAGATGATCACAGTGGTCCCTTCTGGTCTTGCAGTCTCTGATCTGTGTCAGCTATCTTATTAATAAATATGGATTGTAAGATTTTGATTTTAAAATACTAGCGTCGATATTAGAGACAATAATGTTTAAATTAGGGCACCAAAGCCAAACTTTCTTTATAAAAGGTAGAAGCTCTTAAATAACATAAGAAAAATCCAGTATGTTGTACTTCATTCTAAAAGTGCTAAAAAGGAGGGCTACATTCTAACTGTAGATGCAGAAAAGGCTTTCATCTTGCTAAACACACCAAGAAAGCATTCAGCTTCCCCCCAAAAAAATTACTATGAACAGTTTGCGTGTGTGGGTGTGTATAACATGCACCATGTTAACATTGTGATTAAATAATTTTGAAAAAGTGAGAGAAATGTGAATAATACAATAATATGCTATATGTTGCTTAACATTGTTAATTCTGTATTAAGAGACATATCTTTACAAGTCAAGACAAGGTAATTGTAATGTCTTACTATAAAAAAATCAATTAATAGAAGTCCCCCCCACAAAATGCTGTATGTTGCATATAGCAATATCATATCTTGATATGAGTAGTCTTTAAGAATGAATTTTGGAATAGTTTCGCCCATCTTTTTTTTCCACTGCTGAAGATTAAAAGTACAATAAAAGTAGAAAAGCAGGTACATAAAATACAAATATGTTTGGCCCTTATTCAGCAAAGTGCTTAAGCTTATGTTTAATTTTAGGCACAGGTTTTAAACCCATTGATGTCAATGGAATTTAAGCACATGCTTTTAAGTTAAGCATGTGCTTAAGTGTTTTGCTGGATTGAAGATTATATAAGTCACATAAAACCAACTTGATACTACAACTTTTGTGCATTTTTTCTGTGAAAATCTTATTTCAGAAATAATACTAGTATGAATTATTGTGTTCACAGACTGTAGGACAAGGGGACAGTTTGGGGATCTGTCACACCACTTTAGGAGCAAACAATCTGCTGAATACAGTTATCCCAAAGAGAAGCACAAAAGGGGTGAGGAGATCAGTACAAGAAGCAGGTATGTGTATATGAACTAGCCACCTTTGGGATGAGCATGAAAAGTGTGTATATGAAAGATTTTAGTTATACTTAGTCTTCAAAACCTCTTTGCTTATTAATCTTTTATATATAGAAAAAGTGTGTGAGAAAAAGAGATCTTTTGAATGTTTTAGTTTTCATTATATCTGAATAAATTGTCTGTCATTTTCAACTTGAGATGAATGACAATGGACCTTAGATCCTGCTATTCCAATCTAAGCTTTTGATTATTGCTATCATTTCTAAGCCATTTTTACATTTAAAAATAGTCTAATTACTTTAGGTGACTCACAAAATTGATTTGAACATAGCAAAGTTTAGTTGATTTTAACTTGATTAAGTGTTAAAATTCCCTTTCATTCAGTTCACGGCAAACAGTAAAATGTGGTGTTTATAAGTATTGTTAGAAGCTAAGAAGTGACCTGGCTATTAAATGTTACACCATCTTTAAAGTGCTTTGAAAGCTACTGATGAAGAGCATTGTATAGGAGCTACCTATGTTGTTGTTGTTTATTATTATTATTATTATTATTATTATTAGTGTCCATTAAGAGAGAACTTTTTTGTGCTAGATAAAACTAGAAAGAAACATGCTTAAACCAGATGAATTACACTCAAGTGTTCAAAATAGTCATTCCTGCTAATGAAAACCAATATTAAAAGAAAATATTTAGAAATTTGCTAAATCAAAGTCAAATCATATGGGAATCAGATAGTGAAATCTGTTACCAAAAATGTTACTTTGAAAGATTGTAGGGGTTTGCTGATTCAAAGCATGATGTTGAGCTTTTACCAATGAAAATGGCTATGAGTTTTCATTCATAGGCATGGGTGTTTTACTAGCTATTTTGTACTACACTGTCATTTAAGGGCTACTGAACATTGTCACTATGAAATTTCAAACCTCAAGCGACTCATTCTGATTACTATAATACCCAATGGGAGATGCCAAGGAAAGGGGTGTTTTTTATATATCATGATTTTTTGTGGTTTGGGAAAATATATTTTCCTTGTTTTTGTCTGTAGCTGATATAACACACTACCTTTTGTGGGTTAATTCCGTATTGGTTTAGAGGAATTATGATTACTTACACTGAGATTGCCTTGTAGTGTTTGAAATGCTATTTTTTTCTTCTTTAGTCCATACTTTTGTTTTTCAACCGGTGGAGTTTAATGATCAGGACAATAATTTATGCCTGACTGAATATAGAGATTGAGGCTGATGGTGAAAGAAATAATGTTTGGGTTTGCATTTATGTAGGTAATGTTCATTTGTTGAGTTTAGTGTTTTGTAATTATTTGATTTAAAATAAAGAAATAATACTGATTTTAAAATAGAAACTTTGGGAATAAGTTCAACATAAGCATAATGTAAATATTCAGAACACTGGGACTATCACTTTGGAAAAAGTGTCAGTGGCTTTTTTATGACCATAAATTATCAGAATCTCGGTTTTACATCTCTTCTAGAAGACAGCACCTCCAGTAGTTGAATGTGCTTTCATCCTTTACTGCTTCCACTCACAATTCTCTCTGTAAAGATCTTCATCCTGAATTTCCTTCCTTGGATCATCTTAATTCCCTCTTGTTGTTTGTATTTCACACTAATTCAAATAATGTGACTGTCACCAGGTTCCAGTCCAAGGCCTGGCACCCTGCCTCAGTTTTCCTCCGAGATGTCAAAAATAACTTATTTACACCCAGAGTCCAGAAAATAATAATCCTCCTCTCTTGGGTTCTAATTTATTAAACACTGCCTGGCTCCACCAAAAAACGCTTTTGTCCCTTACCCCTTGATTTCAGGGGTTTCATGGCCCTCCTGCTTGAGGCTGTGAGCTTCAAATCCTGGCTTCCCCAGGCAGCAAACTCTCCCTTAAATCCAGGATTTCACAGCCCTTCTTCTAGGGACTGTACTTTGGATTTTTTTGTCTCTCTCTCCCTCTCTATTCTCAGTAGCGTCTTCTAGGAGCTAGTTACTAGCAGCTTCCCCTTTATAAGGCCCAGGTGCCTTCTCTGAATCCCAGTTGAGTAGCAGGTAATCAGCCACAGGTGCACTGGGCACTGCTCCCTTTTAAAGGGGTCAGTCACCCTGTGACAGTGATATATAACATCTATCATTGCTGTCCTCAGAAGTCCCTGAGATCCCCTATCAATTCCTTCCTTTTTCAGAAAATACAGGCCACCAGCCAAATTGTATTCTCATTGCGGTTGCACAGCTATAACTGGTAGCAGAATTTAATCCATAGGCTTGCTAAACTGTTGTTTAAAAATAATTCAGTGAAACACCCAATATTTTCAATTCATTCTAGTTTGCCTTCTTTTACATGTTCTCCATTTCTAAACTTTTCTTTCATGAACAGCCTACAAGTTTTCTGAATATAGGCTCACCAGTCTGTCATACATTGGTAATTTCCTCCAATATAGCCAAATTCATTAATTGTTTTTGTTTATACATCCTGGTATATTAGTTTATTCTTTCTCTCCTAAGCATGGACTTTTACCCACGTATTCTTACTAGACGAATATTTTGCAATGTTTGTGATTCTTGAGGGTGGTTAGTTTCATGTTTCTTTCAATAGCCTCATTACAATATCAACAGTTTTTCTACATTGAATTGCTTAGGCAACTGTCAGTAACGCTCCATTCTCCTAAACTTGCCAAGTAATTTTGAATGCTATTGGCGTTTTGTTAGAGTTCACTGTCCCCACTTTCCTGTTTGTCATTTTCAGTAAGTTTCACAGGGTTTTTTTTTTTCAGTATGATGAATTTTAGGTCACTCCCATATGTTATAAAGTTAACAGAACCAGTCTTACTACTGAATCCTGCTATTTATCTCCTTTCATATAGTGTTTTCCTGTCACACAGATCCTCTGTTTTAGATACCCGTTATCGATTCACATAGCTCACGTTTGGTATAAAAATATTCCATACCTTTCTAAGACAGCTGTTGACTTTTGTCAAGTGCTTTGCGAGAATAGTTGCCTTATGTGTAACTGGAACTATAATGTAGTCGTCTGTGAATATACAGGGCTAGACCCTCAGCTGGTATAAATCATGCTGCCTCCACTTAAGTCAGCTGTTTCAAAGGAGCTACATTGATTTATATCAACTGAGGATCCTGCCTGTTTGTAATGCTTTTAGGGACCTATATTTATACCAGATTATATGTTGGGATATAGTATTGGATGACTCAAAATGAATCAGAAGATGGACAGTTTTTGCTCATACAGATAAAACAAAGGAAGGATGGCACTTCATTTTACTGTATGAAAAAAACACGCTTTGAGCAACTTAACTTATATTGACTTAAAGTGAGGTCTACACCACGCTATGTTGGTGGGAGACGCTCTCCCTTTGACAAAATTTCCGCCTCTCATTGAGGTGGAGTAATTAAGTCAACGGGATAGCGCTCTCCCATCAATGTAATGTGTCTTCACCAGGTGTGCTAAATTGTGCCACTACATCAATGGAAGCGGTGGCGATTTAGCACGGTAGTGAAGAGAAGCCCTAACTTAAACCGTTTTTGTTGTTGTTCTCATTGTGTTCAGTAGGATTGGCTTACTTTAAACTTGTCTTGCTTGAGAGGTGTGATTTTTTTTGACAGCTGTGCTTATTACTTTCTTAACGTAGTTCTTGTCATGAATACATAATACAGATAGCACCTTTCCCACCTATGCATTGCATAATGTCTGACATTTCATTTGTCAAGGGGTTGTTGGTGTGGAGGGGAGCTGTTCAGAAAAAAAAATACTTCTGAGGTCTGACTAATGTAGCAATGCATCTGTAATGTAACATGACATTCATTTTATATTTCAAAAAAGTTTTCAACTCATGAAATAAAATATCAAAAGCACAATGTCATTTCAGATTATTTTTTCCAAAGTTCTGTTAATTTTCAGCATAGTCCTATAATTCCAATGTGAAACCATTTCTTTGGATTGTTGTTTTCCATTTTCTGGTGGCAAATTTAACTTGTATTTCAGACACCCGGGGGATTTGCACAAGCATAGAAATGCAGCCAGTGCAATGCATCTAACTGACATAGTATCCAGTGGATTTGCTCAAGATTTCAGCCATTTTGCTGCTGAAGTTGATGAGACCATTGAAGCTCTAAAACAGCAGGTTTGTCTTGTCATTATCTCTTCAACATTAAACTTGGCAGGGTACCTAAAGTGAATGTGCCTTTAGCTAGTTTAATTAGACTTAGCTGGATCTTTCATTGTATGAGAAATCATAATTATGACAAAGTACAAAATATTTTGTTAAAAGAAATTGGGAGCTCCAAATTGGATAACTATGTTCAAGTTTTTATGAGATACTGTTTTGGGCAGATTTCAGAGTAGCAGCTGTGTTAGTCTGTATTCGCAAAAAGAAAAGGAGTACTTGTGGCACCTTAGAGACTAACCAATTTATTTGAGAATAAGCTTCCGTGAGCTACAGCTCACTTCATAGGATGCATTCAGTGGAAAATACAGTGGGGAGATTTATATACACAGAGAACATGAAACAATGGGTGTTACCATACACACTGTAACCAGAGTGATCACTTAAGATGAGCTAATACCAGCAGGAGACGGGGGAGGCAGGGAAGGGGAAGAAAACCTTTTGTGCTGATTATCAAGGTGGGCCATTTCCAGCAGTTGACAAGAACGTCTGAGGAACGGCGGGGGGAGAGGGGGGGAATAAACATGGGGAATCGTTTTACTTTGTGTAATGACCCATCCACTCCCAATCTCTATTCAAGCCTAAGTTAATTGTATCCAGTTTGCAAATTAATTCCAATTCAGCAATCTCTCGTTGGAGTCTGTTTTTGAAGTCTTTTTGTTGTAATATTATGACTTTTAGGTCTGTAATTGAGTGACCAGAGAGATTGAAGTGTTCTCCGACTGGTTTTTGAACGTTATAATTCTTGACATCTGATTTGTGTCCGTTTATTCTTTTACGTAGAGGCTGTCCAGTTTGACCAATGTACATGGCAGAGGGGCATTGCTGGCACATGATGGCATATATCACATTGGCAGATGTGCAGGTGAACGAGCCTCTGATAGTGTGGCTGATGTGATTAGGCCCTATGATTGTGTCCCCTGAATAGATATGTGGACACAGTTGGCAACGGGCTTTGTTGCAAGGATAGGTCCCTGGGTTAGTGGTACTGTTGTGAGGTATGTGGTTGCTGGTGAGTATTTGCTTTAGGTTGGGGGGCTGTCTGTAAGCAAGGACTGGCCTGTCTCCCAAGATCTGTGAAAGTGTTGGGTCGTCCTTCAGGATAGGTTGTAGGTCCTTGATGATGCGTTGGAGAGGTTTTAGTTGGGGGCTGAAGGTGATGGCTAGTGGCTTTCTGTTTTATTTTCTTTGTTGGGCCTGTCCTGTAGTAGGTGACTTCTGGGTATTCTTCTGGCTCTGTCAATCTGTTTCTTCATTTCAGCAGGTGGGTATTGTAGTTGTAAGAATGCTTGGTAGAGATCTTGTAAGTGTTTGTCTCTGTCTGAGGGGTTGGAGCAAATATGGTTGTATCGTAGAGCTTGGCTGTAGACAATGGATCGGGTGGTGTGATCTGGGTGAAAGCTGGAGTCGTGTAGGTAGGAATAGCGGTCAGTAGGTTTCCAATATAGGGTGGTGTTTATGTGATCATCGCTTATTCACACCGTAGTGTCCTGGAAGTGGATCTCTTGTGTGGACTGTTCCAGGCTGAGTTTGATGGTGGGATGGAAATTGTTGAAATCATGGTGGAATTCCTCAAGGGCTTCTTTTCCATGGGTCCAGATGATGAAGATGTCATCAATATAGCGCAAGTAGAGTTGGGACATTAGGGGACGAGAGCTGAGGAAGCATTCTAAGTCAGCCATAAAAATGTTTGCATACTGTGGGGCCATGCGGGTACCCATAGCAGTGCCGCTGGTTTGAAGGTATACATTGTCCCCAGATGTGAAATAGTTATGGGTGAGGACAAAGTCACAAAGTTCAGTCACCAGGTTTGCCGTGACATTATCGGGGATACTGTTGCTGATGGCTTGTAGTCCATCTTTGTGTGGAATGTTGGTGTAGAGGGCTTCTACATCCATAGTAATCATGAATACATGTACCTGAAATTGTGTAATAATATACAATCTGCATTTCAAGGCAGCTTCATTTGAAAAGCTTTCATTTTTGGCCCATTGAAGATGGCTTTACATGTATACTGTTCTGACTGTAGGTGATAAATATTTGTGTTTTCTAATCCTCAGAAGCATTATCTATTTGAATTTTAAGGGCTTTCTAAATTATATTTGTCTTCTATTTTAATTCATTTTCATGATGATGTAGCTCACTTGGAGCATTAGGGGACTTGATAGGTACTATTTAAAAAAAAACTTTTACGATTATTAATGCTATTATTTTTGACTTACAGTCTAATAATATTGGGAAATTCTTTTTTGCCCAACTAGTATGTGTCAGTGGTACATTTTCATATGAGTGGTGGAAGAAAGTGAAATTTCCCAAGTTTCTACCAGCCATGAAAGCAGTGACTGGCAGTATGACCTGCAAGACAGAAAACCAGGGGTGAAATCCTAGCTGCAATCAAATCAATGGCATAACGCTCATTGAGTTCACCCATTGGGGCCAAGATTCCACACCAAATGTGGATTGGGGAAGCACATGGCTAGTGGATATACCAGCCAACCTTTGTCCTGTGTTGGGGTCACAGGAGATCCTCCAGTCATAGGAGAGGTATGTTCTGTATCACACAAAGAACCACTGCATAAAGAAAATGAACTTGAATTCTCTGCAGGTGAGAGTATTTGAACCTAAATGAAGAACACATACTTACATCAGTGATTTCTAGTGTGCAATTTCAGCTGTGCAACTTCTCAGCCGACTAGTGGTGAAACACATATGTAATGACATGTTGTATGTTCTGTACCTGCATATTAGTAAAGAGAAATATGTTTAGGATAAGTGAATGCACACTTTCAATTTATCTGCTTATAAGCAACTGACCGTTCACAGGCCCGTATTAACATAATACAGTTTATTATGGAAGGTATATAGTAGGGATATTGATTATACACCCAAGAGTGTGCCATATGTAATCTCATCTTCATTTATTTCTTGTTAATTGAAATACCAAACTCATTCAAAATTGACCTACAGAGAATTGATAACCAGAATCCACCTTTTGCTGAAAGGGAGGGGGAGGAGAATTACAATGGAACTATGTGTTGTGAGAATGTTTGGCGGAAATATGACACAGCACACCAAGAAATTTCCATTCTTCCATAGATGCCAGCTTTCTCCTACCAAGTTATGTAATGAAATACACCCCAATTTTGTCAAATGAAACACATTTGCTGTTTCCCTGCATAGTTTTCAGTCAGCCTCCAAATCTGGCTGTCATTGCACACATAATTTGTGAAATCTTCTTTACAGTTACTTTCAAAAAGAGGCAAAAAGGATATAGAATGGGCTTAACCTGCAAGAAGGGAGATTTAAGTTTGATATTAGGAAAAACTTTCTAACTGTAAGGGTAGTTAAGCTCTAGAATAGGATTCCAAGGAGTTCCCATCACTGGAAGCGTTTAAAAACAAGTTGGACAAATACCAATCAGTGAGGTTTACTTTGTCCTGCCACAGTGCAGGGGGCTGGACTTGATGACTTCTCAAGGTCCCTTCCAGCCCTACATTTCTATGATTCTATGATAGCACAGTATCAGTGTTTGGTAGTCGGTCTACAGGTGAACAAGCAATATTTCACTCCAAAAATCTATATTTTAACCATTGAGGGTCTGATCCAATGCCCACTGAAGTCAGTGGAAGTCTTTTAATTGATTTCAATGGGCTTTCGATTAGGACATTTTTTGATGGGTACATAGGGTATATTTCTATCAGCTTTTTCTTTTCTCCATCAACTTCATGGTGGAGAATCATGTCTGCTTTTCAAATAATGGCAGCATGTTTTACTATTCCTTCTCTTTTTACAAAAGTCACTGTCAATATCTAATATAATCTCTCTGCATCTATATATACATGACACTTAAGCTCTATATTTAGTTTAAAAAACAACAGTGAAGCTACCAGTGGTTATCCAGTACCTATGTTTAGAATGATGTGATAGAATATGATTCTGATAAAAAGACTGTGACAAGGTTGGGCCAGATGGCTACAGAAGAGTAATAGAAGGCAGATGTATTAGCCCCAGGTTAAGTAGGTCCCTTTTCCCTGGGTAAGGTAACAAGGAAGGTTCCAGAACAATCAGGAACCTTCTGGAGACAATTAAGACAGACAGGCTGATTAGAACACCTGCAGCCAATCAAGAAGCTGCTAGAATCAATTAAGGAAGGCTAATCAGGGCACCTGGGTTTAAAAAAAGGAGCTCACTTCAGTTTGTGGTGCACGTGTAAAGAGCTGTGAGCAAGAGGCGCGAGGAGCTGAGAGTGAGAACGTGGACTGTTGGAGGACTGAGGTGTACAAGCATTATCACACACCAGGAGGAAGGTCCTGTGGTGAGGATAAAGAAGGTGTTGGGAGCAGGCCATGGGGAAGTAGCCCAAGGAGTTGTAGCTGTCGCACAGCTGTTCCAGGAGGCACTCTAGACAGCTGCATTCCACAGGGCCCTGGGCTGGAACCTGGAGTAGAGGGCAGGCCTGGGTTCCCCCCAAACCTCCCAACTCCTGGTCAGATACAGGAGGAGTTGACCTGGACTGTGGGTTCACAAAAACGGCCAAATTGAGGGCTACTGTGAAGCTCCAAGGCGAGCAAATCTGCCAATAAGCGCAAGACCCACCAAAGTAGAGGAGGAACTTTGTCACAAGATATAAAGAAACATTCAGAAATTTTGAAAAGGAGCAGTTTTGAAGACTTGTGATTCTTTATACTGCTTACTCCAACATGATCAGAACTAATCCTAGCATAGTGATAAATATCCGAACATAAGGGCTTTCTTTTTTATCTTGTTCTTATGATACAAGGAGGAATTGAAATCAGCTTTCACTTTGGAGAAGATTCTGCCTCTCCAATGTAACCTCACACAGTAACAGAGATGCTACAGAAGGACACTAACAAAGTTTCTAAGGCACAACCATTCCATGGTGTAGGGCAACTTGCTCCCACAAACATATAGGGCTAACGTGTAGCATTTTTGCCATT